AATTCACGAAAACAATAATGAAATATCCCTAGCAATTACAAGCATAACTACAGGGTGTTCATTAATTATTGTCGGGGTTTCCGTACCTCATAACTTTCGAATAAAAAATATTACGCAAAAACCGATTACGCATTCGTAAATTACAGCTCAAAGAATTTTACGTGGCAACAATGCGATCTTAGCGCATTTGCAGTCTGGGTAATTATGACGTTATAAATAAAAATGGCGACCGTGCAAGAAAAAGCAATGTGTGTATTGTGGTTTTTCGAAACTAAATCAGTCATAACTACTCAACGTCGCTTCAGGACCACGTACAAGAAAGATCCTCCTTCGGATAATTCTATCAGACGCTGGTTAACACAATTTCAGGAAACTGGTAGCGTTCTACACCGAAAGGGAGCGGGAAGACCGAGCACTTCGCAGGAAAATGTTGATCGCATCTAAGAAACGTTTACTCGCAGTCCATGCAATGTTTGTCAAGAACATTGCGTACAAGACCCCTGTGCCCTCCCTTGATGAACTGAAGCGCAGAATTGTTACTGCGATCCAAAATGCTACCCCAGAAATGCTGGAGAACACTTGGAGGGAAATCGAATTTCGTCTCGATGTGTTACGAGCCACGAAGGGCAGCCATGTGCAAATTCATTAATCTTTTTAATATCATTGATAAAATTCTTTGAGTTGTAATTTACGAATACGTAATCGGTTTTTGCGTAACATTTTTTATTCGAAAGTTATGAGGTACGGAAACCCCGACAATAATTAATGAACACCCTGTATATCTTGTAAACACAAATCGTTGATTTGTGCAAAGTGAATCGGGAGAAGTGAGCAATCGATCACAATTTCCGAAAACTGTTCGTTGTATTGTTTTTACTACCGTAAATAATTCCACTTAATGATGTCGGTTGTAGCAGGAAGCAAAACTCTTTAAAAATACAGTAATTGTTCATTTAGGTAATGGCAGCTTTGTTTATTCGCTGAAAACTCGTAAACATATTATTGTGAAATCAATCGACTTTTCCTAATGGAACAGTCGTGCTGCTACAGTGAAAACAGATGACTTTGAAAGCTCTATTTTCCATTTCAAAAATGATTACTACATATTTTAAAAATATCTCTAACTTGCTGATTGTTTACAGATGACAAACCTGGTGTTTTCAGCAAAAATATCTTTATGTTTTTTTTTATTTACAATATATTTCTTTATATTCTCTGATATACCTTGTTCGTCTCTTATTTCTTCAATTTTCTAACATTGAATGAACTAGCGAAACTACTACTTTCCGCTCCCACTGCTAGTGAAAGCACAGGATGTTTTTTTAAAGTTAGAAAAATCTGCTCGGTGTCCATTTCAGATGCGGCAGGCATCGCGAGCACAATTTTTCCTGTTTCATTTCAGTACTTAAAATACGCAGATTCCTGACATTCAATGAGGTAGTGAAACTACTAAGTTCCGTCCTCCGCTTCTAGCGAAGCCATTGGATGTTTTTTACAGTTAGAAAAATCCGCCCGGTGGCTACTTTAGATACCGCTGGCATCGTGAGCACAGTTGAAATTCGACATTTCAAACAAGAGATATTACAAAGAAACCTACAGCAACTTTGGTTTCGAAAAGATTTAAATTTAAGCGATTAACCTTTAACCCCTTCAGACCTGGTGTCCGGTATACCGGACATCAACTTTGAACTGCTCCTATTACTTCAATAATTGACGAAACTACATGCTGTTTTTTTTAATTTGATTCTCGATATTCTTATCAATATAATCGGTGCAAGAATTTTTCGTTTCGGGCATGGAATCATTTCATACTTTTAGTTTTTTCAAAAAAAATTGAGAAAATCATCGTTCTTCCCAAAATGGAGCTCGGTGGTGAATTTTGTTTTTGAAGTAATTTCTTGTTTTTGATCCTTTTTTTACCATTTAAAAGGCTCCTAAAATATCTTATTACTCATTGACAACCATTTTAAAGTAAAAGTTGTTTGATTTTGTGTCTTTTTTTAGTTGAAATATCCGGTATTGTCCGGATGCCGGACATGGGGCAACTTCTTTAATTTTTCATCTACAGGCTTGAAATTTCATTTATGCTTTAATCTTTGCAGTAGTACACAGTACGCCAAAGGAAAAAATTCTAACTTCATTATTTCTTAATTCCAACTGAAGGGGTTAACTGTAATAAATGATAAATTACAATTTTTGCTTAATTAATCACATTTACTAATAAGTTTGTTCAATGAGATTACATGTCAATGTATTTAATCACACTGACCTAACTTCATTGGTAATTACGCATAATAACCGGTTAATGTGATAAATTCTAATAATCCACTTGCATGGCTATTATGCATACTCGCAGGTTATAATGCAAAATAACCGATTATCCACATTAAATGTAACATATAAGTAACACTACTTCATGTTAGTGTATCTAGAATCATTATGATTCTTCTGTTGTTGTTGTTGATGATGACCTCCGAAAATCAGCAGAGCTATATCAGGTTCATGAGCCTTGAATCACTCAGGCATGGGGAAAAAGGGCAGCTTCTGTGGTCAAAGACTGGAGCACCGAAGGTAGCTCCGATGCCAAGATATACCCCTAGCACTGGGTAGCTCAGGCACCTCGGGGTCAGGATTCTTCTAATTGGTTTAGGTGAACTTGAAGTGGAAGCAGACCCGAATTAGCACAGGACGAAAAAAAAAAACTCCTAACTAATGAACCTAAATAAAAAAAATTAAAAGAAGTTATAATACTACGACAGGAGAATTTAACTAATAACAAACTAAAATAAATAATGATAAATAATAAAAGAAAAACTGAACTAATAAAAGCACAGATGAAAAAATGAAAACAATGGTATTTCTAAGAGTTTATGAAAAATCTATGGTATTACTACAAAAACTAAAAAGAGGAATAAAGGAAAGACATTTAAAAATACAGGGGGAAAAGGATAAAGATGTATAAAACTCCACGTTAGGTTTTTATTTATACCAAAGGAGTAGATTCGAAGCTGGGTGTTTACATGATTACGAAATGTAAGAGATTCCGTTGATTTTTCTAGATTATTCAAGGAGGAAAGTTATTATTGAAGAAAGCCCAGTTTATACCGATACTGAATCTGAATCTTAGCCTCTATGCCTGCCATACACAGAAGCTGATTACAAGATTTATTTCTACGATGTATCTTCAGAAATACATGTTAAAATTTACTGATTTATTAAGTAATCAAGAAGCAACCTAACTAGAACAAGTTAAAATATAAGCAATAAATAAAGTCAGAAGTTAAAAGGAGTTTCGAAATATGGTGAAATAAAGAAACACTGTTCTGAAAATATAATTCTGAAAAAATATCCTCTAAAGAATCTCGATTAAATATGGGATAAAATTTCCGATAGTAACCACTTTTTTCATTAACGTAACGAAATCTTTGAGAATCATTTTATTAATATTGTTACAAAGCTGTAAAGTTGTAACTCTGACATGCTAATCTTAGTGACAATTTTGGTGACTTGGTGACAAAAGAAATCTTCTAGAAAATCCTGAACTGAGAACCTATCTCTACTGGGAGCCAGAAGTGTCATGAAACTTCTAGATTGCATGACTTCCTATGTATTGACGTTACTTCCTGTTGAAAAGGCATAAAAGCAAGTTCTCAAACCAAGAGAGTCAGTTGTAGTTTGATCAGCAAGAAAGCTGGTGAACTGAGAGATATTGAGCTCTATTGAAAGTACTGTAATTGAGATTTACTGATAATCTCTGTTTTACATTTGTGCAAATGCAGATTTCTTGCCTGTGCTGCGTTTGTTTTCTTAGAATATTCGTGGAATTAAAAAGCTTTATTTTGACGTGAAAACATCCTTCCACTCGTTACAGTGATTCCTAACTTTCTTGCGTGACAAAATACTGTCACATTAGAATCGCTAATAACTACGAGACTAATAACGCTAAAAGAATGGTTGAACCCACAACGGATAGATCAAATCTGTAAGATTTGTGGCATAGTATTTGTTTTGCCTCTGACTTCATCGTACCAGTGTAGGCGCATGCGCGTGATTGTAATGAATTAGCTTCATGTAAGTTTATAAATAAGTATAGCGTGGAAACGCGTTTAGATAGAAGGTTGATTCTAGTGTCATTTTGAAGAGCTTCAGGAGTATTACTGGGACCCAAAGTGAGACAATAGAACTATTTATCAGAATATAAGTAAAAATCGGTATTAAATTGAAAATGTCAAATTCCGCATGTTTTTTTATTACAACATGCAGTTTTCTATCGAATTGTACGAAACTTACAGGATACTTGACAATATGTAAAAAGAAATATTGTATTAAATTTGAATATGACGGGAAATATGAACACTTATAGTCAATAATGTTTTACTGAGCATACGCAAAATATGGTTCTACGTACTGAAAACAAATGGCGCCATCAAAAGATACTCTAAATAGAACCTGATAAAGGCACAGTTTTGGGTCTATGCCGTAGAGTTTTCGTGAAAACGTCGGGATAAAATCATAAAACATGTATTTCGTATTAATATGTAATTTAATTATCAATCTCTTTAATACAATATTTACACAGAGTAGTATAATGGTTACAGAATAGATAAATCACAAGTTTTTCTCATGTAGCAAGGATCTGTGGTAGCTTGTGAATTATCTATTCTATAACCGTTATACTACTCTGTGTAAATATTGCATTAATGAGATTGATAATTAAATAACATATTAATACGAAACACTTGTTTTATGATTTTATCTCGAAGTTTTAACGAAAAATCTCTGTTGCGGGCCCGAACTGTGCCTTTCTTATGTTTTTTTCAGATAGGTAAAACGCCGTTATGTTGCATTAAGTCTGCTGCAAGTCTGAAGATTCCCAACGCAAGTGGCAAAATGGCTACCATGCAGCACATGGCACGTCTCTGGCTCCACGACAAGAAATCAATTGTAACAGTTCAAAAATGTTTCTATCGACATTATAGAAATTGTAAGCCTCCAACAAGAGAAAGTACCGGTTCTTGTCCGATCACTGCAGTTAAGTAGCATCGGACGAGGTCAGTTCTTGGGAGGGTGACCACTTGGGAACACCGTGTGCTGTTGGCATCTTTTTCAAGCTCCAGGCTTTATACCCTTTCAGGTAGCCTGGTCCGTTGTGGGTTTTAAATAAATAAATAAAAGTCTCCAGGTAAGAATTTGATAAAGCGTTGGTACGAGCAATTTAAGCGAACAGAAAACGTACATCATAGAAAAGGTGTTAATGTACATCATAAAAAAGGTACTAATGTACATCATGGAAAAGGTGCTAATGTACATCATAGAAAAAGTGCTAATGTACATCATAGAAAAGGTGCTAATGTACATCATGGAAAAGGTGCTAATGTACATCATGGAAAAGGTGCTAATGTACATCATAGAAAAAGTTCTAATGTACATCATAGAAAGGTGCTTATGTACATCATGGAAAAGGTGCTAATGTACATCATAGAAAAAGTGCTAATGTACATCATGGAGAGGTGCTTCAATGTACATCATAGAAAGGTGCTATGTACATCATGGAAAGAATTGCTAATGTACATCATAGAAAAGTGCTAATGTACATCATGGAAGAGTGCTAATGTACATCATAGAAAAGGTGCTAATGTACATCATGGAAAGGTGCTAGTAACCTCATAGAAGAGATGCTAATGTACATCATGGAAAGGTGCTTACAATGTACATCATAGAAAGAGCTTAATGTACATCATGGAAAAGGAGTTAGCAATGTACATCATAGAAAAGTGCTAATGTACATCATAGAAAAAGTGCTAATGTATACATCCATGGAAAGGTGCTAATGTACATCATGGAAAGGTGTAATGTACATCATAGAAAAGGTGCTAATGTACATCATGGAAAGGTGCTAATGTACATCATAGAAAAGTGCTAATGTACATCATGGAAAAGGTGCTAATGTACATCATGGAAAAAGTGCTAATGTACATCATGGAAAAGGTGGTAGTAACATCATGGAAAAGTGCTAATGTATACATCATGGAAAAGGTGCTAATGTACATCATAAGAAAAGTGCTAATGTACATCATAGAAAGGTGCTAATGTACATCATGGAAAGTTGCAAATGTACATCATAGAAAAGTGCTAATGTACATCATGGAAAAGGTGCTAATGTACATCACATGGAAAGAGATGCTGTGTACATCATGGAAAAGGTGCTTCAATGTACATCATGGAAAAGGTGCTAATGTACATCATGGAAAGGTGCTAATGTACATCATAGAAAAGGTGCTAATGTACATCATGGAAAAGGTGCTAATGTACATCATAGAAAAGGTGCTCGACGGCCATAGGTCTCAGACAAAGTTATTGAAGGAGTGAGGGAGACTTTCAAACCTTAATTGCTTGCACCTACGCTTAATGATGTTCTTACTTGCAGCGAGACAATTTCTATACTCAAACCGAAAACATCATTCAACTGCTACAATAGATTTGCTTACGTGGAACCAGAGACGAGCCATCTGCTGCACGGTAGCCATTTTGACACATACGTTGAGAACGTTCCACTGCAGCACATTTAGTGCGCCGTACCTATCTGAGAGAAAAAACACTTTAGCTACTCTCTCATTGAAAAAGACGAAGTTACTACATTATAGGGCTTTTTCAAAAAAGTTTTTGAAATGGGTCCACTAATTTATGACCAATCTGTAGTTGTTGAAATACTGCTGGAGAAGTAATATGTAACCGTGCCGTACTACATAGTTTATCTGTTTGAATTCATGAATAAAGGGTTTCTCTCAGAAGGCCTGTTGCCTTACTTTTTGAAAGGCATTTGTATTTTCGCTTGTTAACACTTTGTTGAACGCTAACAAATTAGCTCAATAGCCAAGCCAACTCATGAAAGGTAAAAAAACATTGATATCGAAAGGTGTCGCTTGACGCCTCCGTTCGGTAATGTGTTAAATCAGTAACTATTACACTTAACTTCACATTCGTAAGACGTGCATGTGCACTGCCTTTTCCAAGACCTGTTCCAGTTTAACAACCGTGGAGCTGCTTGTGTGGTCTTCCAGTATCTTCTTAAGAAGCATTTTTGCAATAGTTCTGAGTGGTAGGACATAATAAATGTTTCGGAACTTGTCTGTACGGAATATGCAAATAAAATATCTTTTTACACAAACAATAAGCATCACAAACTTCTTGAATGAAAGAAGAAAAGACTTTGCCATGGATTGAAAAGCCATTATTCTGTATTGAAAAAAAAACATAAATAAGGCTCAGTTCGGGCCCGCGCCGTAAATTTTTCGTGGAAACGTCGGGATGAAATCAGAAAACAAGTATTTCCAATTACTATGGTATTTAATCATCAACCGCATTAATGCAATATTTACACAGTGTAGTATAATTGTTACAGAATAGATAAATCACAAGCTACCACAGACTCTTGCTACATGCGTTGTGATTTATCTATTCTGTAACCACTATACTACACTGTGTAAATATTGCATTAATGCGGTTGATATTTAAATTATATATTATTACGAAATACTTGTTTTATGATTTTATCCCGACGTTTTCACGAAAAATCTACGGCGTAGACCCGAACTGTGCCTTTATCATGTTCTCTTTAGAGTATCTTTTGACGGCGCCATTTGTTGACAGTATGTAGAATTACATTTTGCGTATGCTCAGTAAAACATTATTGACTACAAGTGTTCATATTTCCCGTCATATTCAAATTTAATACAATGTTTCTT